AATCACAAACCATCTAAAGTTCTGAGTCCATAATACTAGAAGTCTAGAATACCTCAGATATATACTGATTTCCAAACTTAGGACCAAGCTTTGGCTCCATTAAAGCATCCAAGCCTCCCTTATCCACGATAACATCAAAGCTCTCGTTCTCTAACTGAGAAGTAACAACAGTTAGAGCAGAGGAGCACTTAGACCTATAACGAATGTCGAATGAAACTTTGACCGATATTACCTGCATAGCAGTCATATCCATCACACGCCACTTCATTTCTGGTCGTGCTCGGACATTTCTCCTCAACATATCAGATATAACGACCTTGGAGAAGTCAATATTGGTGATATTCCGGCGACCAGAGTCGTATAGGTGTTCGGAAAGCTTGGAGTTTCCGCAACCAGGGACAAGAATATGCGAGTCTTCAGATATCTGGGCGATGAGATGGTCTTGAAGCTGAGGCCACTCAGAGTACCACTCAAATGCATCATCGCTACCTCTGATAGTGAAGAAGTTGTCCCAATTCTCTTTGGACGTGAAATCTCCCAATGTTTGGAGCAGTTCTCTTTGCTTGTGCTTTTGCACTCTCTTCCCCATTTTTTCTCAGTCCCGCCAGGCCTCGGAGGAACAGAACTTTTTTCTCTTTTTTTAAGACTAGGGTTTTGAATGGCATCCAAGCCAGGGTTGTGGATTTTTAAGTCTCACTATAATTAAGGAGTAATTATTCTTTCTGTTCCCTAACTTTGTCTTGTTTTATCTTTTTCATTCGTTCATATTGTGGATATCTTCTTTTGGACTATTTTCAGTCTCAAACCAGATCAGATCAGACCAGACTTGATTTCCATAACTATAAAAATACACAGAGACCAGACGTTTACCAGATCAGACCAGACCAGCAAATTTCAGTCCAAAAGAAAACATCCTAAACTTGTCTCAATCATATTTGGTAACATTCGGATGGTTACACTTCATTCTTACTTTATTCACACTTTATCAATTCAATAACAACCACACAATTACATTTTTTCCTTAAAAGTTTTGTCGAACCTTGGTGGATGGTGTACCCGGGGGTAGCTTATCCGGAGGGTTATTGCGGGGAATAACTAGAGAGAAGTCAGAGCAAACAAGTAAGAGAAAGAGAGCCAAGTATATTAAATGAACTTGTTCTGCGTTCCTTTGCAAGAGGAATAAGAGCTACTGTTTATAGCAGCCATAAATGCGATGAGAGTACACGTGTCAGCAATTTGACGACCGAGGGGTCATCTCAATTGGGGTGGCACCGACACTCGCATGTGCACCGCATTGAATCCGGTGGGTGGATGTGACACTGCATTAAATGCGATAGTTGCTTGTCCCCAAAGGGAATCTTCGATGATTGAGTTGTTAGGCGAAGGCTCTCCCTGCGGCCGAGGGCTCTATGTAGCCGAAAGCTGCCCTCATGATGAGGGCTCCTATGAGCCGAAGGCTCCCGATTTTCACTGTCCCCCCAGTAGCTTTGTATGTAGAAGATCAGCGGTTTCTTGGAGTTTGGAGCCTTCGGCCATACAGCCGAAAGCATCCCAAGCGCATCGCGGGTTACTTCGGGCTTGGGCCGCGGTGCTCTGAGCCTCGTGCGTTTCTTGGGCCTGTTAGGCCGATGTGGAAGAAGTAGGAGTCTGTGGACCGGGTGTCCCTGGGCCATGTACTCCATCAAACCTCTGTCCCAAACGTAGTGGGACGGGGGTAGTGCATGCCAAAATTGATAAAGTTTGTGTGGTTCTAAATCATTCTTTCTTTTATCAATTTATAAGAGCATCTTCAATGCTAATTAATACACGTGTAGCATGAGAGAGATAATTTGTTTGTTAATATCTATGTGGTTATCTTTCATGCTACATGTGCACCGTGCACATTGTAGGCTTTGTAGCATTGAAATGTTCTAATATAAATCATATAAATTCACTTTTCTTCATAAGCGTGTCACCTCTTCTTATCTCAATGTTAATGGGATGGTGGTGGTATAAATTAATTTTGACAATTTTGAAAGGTATAGACAAATATCCTTGTGCTGGAGGATTGATAAGATTCGTCGTCCCACCAACTTCATTTGAGTGATCTCAATAGATTTTTTTAAAGAAATTTTATGGGCATTTATTTGTTAAGTCTAGACTATGTCCACAAAATTTTAACTTCAAATTCGATCGAAAAGTTAGCTAAATGATAAATTGTTGGAAAACACTGCATTTCATACATTTAGGGCATTGTTTTTTAATAATTTATTTAATTGGTGTCCCAGTTGAAAAAACATACATATAAAACGCAATTATTTTCAAAAAAAATATTTGACTATCTTCCCGAAATTTTAACTGAAATTTAGGAGGTATCTACTAGACTTGATGAAGATCGTGCTCAAAAAAATCATCATAAAAAATTATTAATGACCACCTGATGAGGCGGCGACCGGACGGAGGCTCTAGTCTGGAATCCCGAACCAAAGCTAATCTGACGAAACTACCCTTTATGATATCTAGTAGTACATACGCATCGTAGATCCATCGATCAAACCACTGCACTCATCTTCCTACACTGGTGCAACATCAATACATCCTTCAATAAACCATTGCAATTGTTGCCCTTCGCTCACAACGCCACCCTTCGATCAATCCACCACCGCCACCCACCCACGAGCTGATACAATCACTCTTTGACTAATTCCTTTACTCTCTTTAGTGAAATTGTCATCTCGTGTTAGGAGTGACACAATGATAGCATTTTCTTGTAAAAATCACGTCATTTTCAAAAATAGGTTGAGATTTCTTGCATTAGAATTGTGTCATTTTTGTAAGAATTATGATAGTATTAAAAAAAGAACGGTTGAAATTTTGGCATATGAGTGACATTGTTTTAAAACTTACATTGTTTTAGTAGCATAAAATTGACATTGTTTTATTCAAACCCGGCATCTTAATAAGTTTAAACTTTGAAAAATAATGTCATAAGGGTGATATTTTTCTAATAACTTGACATTCTCATTTTTTAAAGGAAAAATTGATAAGAATAATCTCATCTTTCACTGGTCTTCTCGTAATAATCTCACCTTTACGTGATCCCAGAATAATCCCACATTTGCACCTCATCTTCTTTTATTGGACCCTTTCTTTGAAAATCTTATATAAATAATCTCACCTTTGTCGGTCATCAATAGGCCAGGGTCCAATGAAAGAAGATGAGGTGCAAATGTGGGGTTATTCTGGAATTAAGTAAAGGTGAAATTATTATGAGAAGATCAGTGAAAGGTGAGATTATCCTGGTCAATTTTCCTCCTTTTAAATGACATTATTGTAAAAAAAAAGTAGTTATGCAAACTCAAATATGCCAAATTGATAAATAAATAAAGTTTCAAACTCAAATATTTCCTGTCAATTGGCGTTCAAAGAATTATTTAGAATAATTCAAACAATTATTTAGAAATTGAAAAGGTAGTAGATAAAGAGATGAACACAAAAACATAGTACATGAGGGGGTAGGGAGGAGGGTGAGAATACTATATGATGAGTTATGTCAGAGAAATTGTTGCATAGGTGGCGGCCGATGGAGAGCAGGCGATTGTGATGATGGTCATCGAGTTGCGATCGATTTCGGTCAAGCTGTGTCTGTGGCAACTAAGTCGGGGGGGGGGGGGGGTATTCATAAGTTTAGCGATCGATGTCACACGGATTGAGGGAAAGTGAATTTGAGATTAAGAGTAAAAATGTGATGTGGAGTCCAATTCAGATTTTATTTTTTGAAAGGGGAAAAATGCTTATATTAATATCATTAGGATTTACTCCATCCGTCCCGCTATGATTGTCTCATTTTACCATTTCGGTCCGTCCCACTAAGATTGCCCCATACCTTATTTGGTAAAGTTTGTGTGGTTCTAAATCATTCCTACTTTATTCTTACTTTATCAATTCAATATCAACCACATAAACCACTTTTATTAATAACCGTGTCACCTTCTCTTGTCCCAAACTTAGCCGGGACGAAGGTAGTAAATCATTACAACAAACTCAAAGAGACCAACATTAACAAAAAAATTGAGCAACATAAACGAATATAACGTGAAATTAACAACAACAACCAAACCTTGATCCCAATAGATTTTGGGGTCGGCTAACATGAATTCATCAATGATATCAATGCCAAAAAGAGAAGACAGAAAAGAAGAGGAACAAAACTAAGACAAACCGGACAAGATAATGATAAATAAATACTCTTTCCGTCCCAACATTAACTTCTGATTCACTATTCACAGGAACAACTTAAATTTCTCTTAATCTTTTGTTTTATATATCAAAATTTTATCAAATTTCCATTTTTATCATTTTTGTAATTTTTTTTAATGTAGTTTGTGAATTTGTAAATATTATTTACAAAAAAATAATTCGAGCGTGAAATTGCTTTATCGCCAGCCAAGCACCATCGTCTGAAATGGAAATTCCTTATGGGACGGAGGTAGTATAAGATAACGATAACATGAGAATAAAATAAAGATAAAAGATAAAAACATAAAAGATAAAAAAGCTAGAAGATAAAAATAACATAAGAAATTAAAAAGATAAAGAAGATATATGATGAAATAAACAGAAAGATGAAAGATAGAAAAGAGATCAATTGTCCACACATATGTGCATCCTCCACGTTGCTCCCTCCAAAGCCATACTCTTATTCAACCCAAGAATACGCATATCAGTTCTGATCCTCTAATCCAAACCTGTTTAGGCCTTCCCCTCTGTCTCTTCTCCCCACTTCTCAAATCGTCTAATAGGTGCATCGTCTGGTCTTCTACGCACATGCTAAAGCCATCGCAAACGAGACTCTTGTATTTTTTTTTCATGTGTGCTACTCTCACCTTTTGACTGAAAAAAAAGAAGACAGTAAAAAGTAAAATGATTGATGAATACTCCAAACTCTTTGTTGTCAGTTTTCTTGAAATTTTATCTTCCAAACTCTAATTTATTGATCTTCACCCAATCACCGCCCTCCACTCTTGTTGATCCTCCAAAAACCAACCTATCGGCCTCCTCCTCACTTGATGGAAAGGGACAACATTGCTCTAAATCACTCATTCAAGTCACGAATATCCTTTCTCGATCAAAATGTAAAATAAAAACTGGTCCGTAGATCAGAAGTGCAATATTGCACTGCTCTCGTCACGCGAGAGAAAACCTGGTTCTCGACAAGCAAAAGAAAAACTAGACTTGCTGCCTCACAGGGGAGTCACAGCCCCAGGACGACAGCAACACTGCATCGAGCAACAACCTTCTCACAGCAAAAGCTATGTAGGTTAAACCCTAAAGATAGACTTCGTTTTCTATTTGGGAAATTTAAAACTTTTCCTATTTTGGGATTTTAATCATGTTTTAGTTCCATACATGACAATAACTTTTTGTCCTATTTCAAACATTTCTAATTAAAAGTACTTTATATCGCATTTTAAGCACATTAATTTTTGGTAAAAATATTCCAAATACCCTAAACGTTGAATGAGTCTGAAGTAAATACCCCGAACTAACATATGTAATTTAAATACCCTAAATTTTACATATTTTTTAGCACCATTATTGTATATTTTTTCATTCAAAAATGTAAACTCATGGTGTCGTAATTTAAAATATCTTAGTATTAGTGAAGATATAATTAAAATTGTAAACTTCCATTGTGAATAAATAATATTACGTATCCTCAGTCTACAATTCTATACCATTGCAATGTTTAGTAATTGAAATAAAAATGTTTTAAATTATGCAATTAATATTTAATAACATAGATTTACATATTTGAAAAAGCAACATATAATCATGGTGCAATAAACTTTTTTAGGTAAAGTTTGAGATATATTAAAATCTTATCTTAGTCGATGAGAGTTAGGACATTAATGGTTGGTTTGCAGCTGTTTTAAAAAAAGCACTTCTCAGTTTTTGACTTTAAAAACACTTATTTTCCCAAACACTACAACTTTTATTTTTCTCGGCTTCCGCGCCAAAAGTGTTTTTACTTTTTTCTATTACACAAAAAACACTTATTTTACCAAACACTATTCACTTTTACTTTTCAAAATCACTTTTTTGTGAAACACCATCAAACTTTTATTTAATCGCTTCTCCTCTCAAACACCATCAAAACTTTTGTGATGTTTGTGTACTCCCTCCCCCTTCTCTTTCCGTCTGCAGTCCCCGTCTCCCTTTCTTAATCTCTAATTCTCTACCCGTCCATCGTCAGCCTTCAATATACACCCAACAGACACACCCAACACCCTTGAATATTTGCTTCCAACCTTGCTATCGCCCTAACCTCACCCGGTAGTTCCCATTGTTTACGTGTTGTGGCGCTAACCATCAGTTAGTTATAGATGGTGGAGAGGTTCATACTTCAGGCCTTATGCCTCAGGTAGCTATACATATGTTTTAAGAATTTTTTGGGAAAATCTGCGCGCTTCCTCACAGTCTATGCACTGTAAGCATCTCTTCTCCCATTCCCTTTCCCCTTTCATTGTTGCTTTCCAGTTAATCTCTCAATCTCTTTTTCTCTTCTCAGGATATATGTCCTGTTATATCTTGTAATGTCACTTTAGTCTTGAGTTAAACAGTCTGAATTAAGTAAAACGTGAAAAACATACACAGATAAATGCAATGGTATGACGTATGAAGAGTCAAGTTATTTGGTCAGTAGTACAGTTATGTGAGTCTGTGTTTTTAAACACTTCCCAAAATTTGTTTTGGCTTAGGAGCATCTAATTTAATGGCTTGTGTTTCAAATTCTCATAACTCTTTCTGGTATGAGCTCTTTCTGGTGCAAAGTCCTTTTAATCTAATATAACAGTATGAACTGAAGGCATGATCCTTAAGTAACTCTTTCTGGTGCAAAGTCTCATAAACAAGTTTGGTGTTTGTCTTAGAATATTAGGGGGGAGGGATCACAATAAGTCTGTGCAATGATGTCTCTATATTATACAATGATGTATATAATGGAACAAACTCACAATGGCTAGGTTTTGGGTTATGATATTTAACATTCCCCTCAAGTTGGATCACATAATTCATATGCACTTAGCTGTATACAAGAGCACCCAATTATAGGACTGTAGGAATTCATACTAGCAAAGTATTGGAGATAATTAATTTCCTATGATTGTGAGATTTCTTATATGTGCATCTTCTGCATTTTTTGAGCTGCATAATGGGGTTTTCACACAGTAGTAGCTCTCATAGATGCTTATGTACTTGACTGTTTAGAGTTCACAGACTATTTCTATATGTAATGGGTGTTGGCCGGTTATAAAACAAAATTAACATTTTCAAGATTACCTTCTACATAAAAAGGTACCTACCTTAAGGGCTGGGTCCGGAAAATCGAAAACCGAAAACCGAATCAAATTAAACCGAACCGCGACCAAATAAAACCGAACCGCTAAAAACCGAAACCGAATGTAAAAAACCGAACCGAACCGTAGTTGTTTGGTTCGGTTTTGGTTTTTACCCTTCAAAACCGAACCGAACCGAACAAACCGAACAAACCGAACTAATTAAAATATGAAATTTTATTTGTTAATTTTTAATCATTAATCCTAATATCATCAATAGTCTTTGATTTTTTGTGCTATAGAAATAATGTTTATGTTTAGTTTAGTTGATAAATGCATTTACTCATTCATTTGCCCATAATAATGTAGCTATATTGATCGATTATGTCTTTTATGTATGTATGCATGTTGCAATTTGTTGCATGATTATTGTTTTTAGAGGTTATTAGTAGTAATTAAATTATATTTTTATGTAACTTACATTTTTTACATTGATAAATCAAATAAATATTCATCTCAGCTATATCACATATGATATATGTATTCATGAACTTTTTTCAATTTAGTCACAAACAATGTAAATTAAGAATATATACACTTATATCTCTCCTGCATACTCATATAATTCAAGACATGTTTTTTTTATTCTTATTTTTACTTCATTTATTCTAGTATGCTTGTGTTTTTTATGTAATATGTTTGATCCCTCCAACTATTATATCAATTTTAAATCAAATGACAAATTTTTGGTAAAAAACCGAAAGAACCGAAACCGAACCGAAGCAAATCGAACCAATCAAACCGTGGTTCCGAGTTTTGGAGTGTAAAACCGAACCGAAACCGAACCGAACTTTAACTTTGGTTCCGTATTTGGTTTTAGGTAAAAACCGAACCGAAAGAACCGAACCCACCCCTTGGCTACCTATATGTCCATAGAAGCTTGTAAAATAAAAATTCTTTCCATCAACAATAGCAATGAAGCGAGCAACACGAGAGTTTTAGAACAAAACTGAAGTGTTCAGTATGAAATATACCTAACCATTTGACCTGATCTTACAATCATAGGAAATTATTTATCTTCTAAACTTTGCTAGGCTGCTTATGCGCTTGGGATTCAATTTGCACTGAACTATCATCATCACCACCATTATCCTAGTGCCGCAAAAGCTCCCACCTACGGCGGGGTAAGGGGGGTTGGATGTACGCAGTCTTATGTACTAAAGCATAGAGAGACTGTTTCCGAATGACCCATAGTGATAAACGCGTCGAAAATTGCATAGACTGACTGTTACTTCATAACAAAGAAGCGCAGACAGTTTAGTGAGCCATTTTGCTTTATTCCATCATATCCCCAAGCCAAAGAGTAGTGAGTCTTTGGCTCCATTGAAAATGATGGAAAGAATTTGCACTAAACTATATATGAGTATATTCTTTATACAAAAGTGGTTTTCTTTTTTACTTCCTTTAATGTGATTTAGTCACTAGAGATCGGGATCATATTTCTTGCTTTTTCTATATATGTATCTTTATATATTTATACTGCAATATACTCATTTTTATTATCATCTACATGGTATCAATGCTAGATTTCTATACCCGGTCCCTAAATACTCTTTTTCCATATAAGTATATAACCTTATGCACCATGGCTGACCATATCAGAGTTCATCATCACATGCTGTCATAACACTATATTTTGAATGTTTCCATCTCACCTTGTATTACTTGAGCAGTTGAGCCAAATCTACTCCCAAGCCACATTTGAGACTGCTCAGTTCACATACTCACATGTAAGAGCGGTACTGTCTCAATCATCAATTCAGCATCCCAGAATATATGTCAATAACTACTTCCAATGGTTTGATGCGCTAATGAACTAAACTATGCTAACTATCCAAGATTGCAAAAATCTCTAGGCAGTAGTAGGGCTGACTTGGGGGTTGACCGTCACCCAGTAGAGCCTGTAGCCTGCCTGACCACCGAGTCAATAAATCCTAGGTTTTACAAATTGTTAAAATTCTCCCGCATAACTCTCTGTCTAGCCCTCCCAGTCGCCTGTCACCCCCCTCCCCGAAACACCCCATATGTTATCCTCCAATCTTGCGTAACCTTCCTAGGAAGCTTACTACCCATTTTTCGCCGATTTGGAAAAACCACACAGGTTCACCGCCACCTTGGCTGATTTTTGTTGTGACTATCTCAGAGATGGAGTTCTTTTAATGAAAACTAAAGCAAATACATTACATATTTTATATTTCCACTGGCGCAATATTGAATAGTTTAATTTAATTTTATGTTCTCTTTTGATGTAAGCACAAAATACTACCTTAGAGTATCTAACTCAATTAACATCATTTTTTAAAGGATGCCAACTTCGTGTTTTTTCTTATATCTTGGTACCCTAAACAAATTTTGACAACCCAACATAAGCGCTTAAATACATCTTAGCTTCTCTTGTATTTTAGTCTACGAAAACAAACTTCTCACCTTGAAAAATTGTCAATGAGTGGGTTCATTTTAAACAATCACACTTCTATCTTGACTAGCATGTTCATTACCGTCGTAAATTGCGCACTATCCCCTCACGCATTACTATAACTGGTTTAAAATACACATGTAAGTTTGGAGCGTTAACTTCGTAATCTTTTCAAAATTTGAGGGTGTTTGAATTATATGTACTCTCTAGTTAATATTTCTAATTTTTCTTCTCTCCAGTCCTCGTGTCCCCTGAATCATCTGTTCGTCGATCCTCCTACTCCTAATCCTATAGCTCTCTCTGCTCGCTTCGTATCTCTGTTCGGTCGCAGACTTGCAGAGTTGCAGGCATCTCTCCCCAGTCTCGATTTACAGAATCCTTGGCTCCATCTTGACACCAGTGGGGAACTGCCTCCAGCAGTCTAGCTCTCCACGGCTCCAGGCCTGCACGGCAGCCCCCCTGGTTAGTGTTAGCCTCTTCATTCCGAAATTAGAACCAAAATTTTGTATACCTAATCTGAAATTTGCAGACATTTCCCAAATCCTAATTCACATTGCTGCCTAATGGCTAATATGTCTTACTATTTTAGACTTTTAGTATTGTACCTTAAGTGTATACAATACTAAAAGTACTTATTTGCAGTAGGATTTTAATGAATACTACTTGCAATAGGATTTTAATGTTTCCACTCTCAACTATTGGATAATATGCAGTAGGATTTTATTGAATACTATTGGCAGTAGGAATGTAGGATAATATATAATGGGGGGCAGTAGGATTTTTTGCTTTAATTATTTGTTGGTGTGATAATAATATACTTTTTTGCGTAATGAATAAGAATGATTTGTTGCAGAGTGTGAATTAGGATTTGGGAAATGTCTGCAAGTTATAGTTAGGACAACTTTAATTTGAGTTAATAGGAATGATTTGTTGCGGAAAATTCTACCCCATTTATGAAATTATTAATCCATATGAGCACTGTTTATTTAAATAGGTCTGGAAAATCTAATGGAAAATCCAAATGAAGGAGAGTTATTAATGGAAAATTCAAATCAACAGGTTCAGAGAATTGTTAGTCCAATTCAATGGAAAATCTAATGGATTTTTTTAATGAATATGATTATAGAATTGATACATTTTTTTTCAAAGATACAGTTGTAGAATTATTGCAATTTATCTTAATTTTAATTTAAATTTGGAAACCTAAAACACAAGGTTTAGATCAGCCATTGGCTACACCGCCTACTGTGCCTGCCAAACTGCGTGTGGGTGCACTGGTGTAATACTGTAATGTACAAATGAAATTCAAGCAACCTTTTCTTGGCCCCATTCCAATTGAAATTCTAGATCCGCCCCTGGACATACTATCGTCGTATCAAATAGAAGTGATGAAAAATGACATCAATAATAAGGATGTGTTTTTTGTATTTGACAAGTGTGAACAATTTTTCCCGTAGAGAACAAGTGTAATTTTGTCATTTGTTTTTTGTATTTGACTTTGGTGAACACTTTTATTCTGGTAAAACATTTGTAATATTTAATTTTTTGTTTAACTTCTTTGTTACAATTGAAATTATTTTATATATATTCAAACTAGGCCCCCACTGGATTGAAAGCTAGATCCGCCTCTGCTACCTGCTGGAGTGAGTGTGGCTCCCAATCTACGGTTATGGTTTGAGTTTCAGTTTAACATGAGCAGAAGCAAAAGTGGTGTCCCAATCTCTAAGCTCTAGCACAATTCTTCATTCTGATTTCCGTTGATGCTCTATTTTGGATTAAACAATCTTTCATACTTGAAATGTTATGGAGTTCTAGACACCTATTCAAACTATCACGCATATCAACAAAATGTGGGTTTCTCCCATCAACTAACGATCTTCTGATCAACACTCATCAAATTTCTTTCTCTACTATTCCTGGGAGCTACAAAGGTATCCTCACCCCGCAAGTCGTACAATCAACTATATTGAATTGCCATTCTGATCTAATTGCTCTTTCCTTCTTTATTTGGTGTGCTAAGCAACCTAATTACTTCCATGACAAGGCAACTTGTGTTTACATGGTTAATGTAGTCTCTCGCCTCACTCAGAGGTTTGTAACCATAAAAGGTGTTTTAGATGAATTGGAGAATGCTGGTACTCTGATAAAGCCACAAGTTTTATTACTTTTATTGAGAATATACTGGCTTGGAAGAATGCACAATATGGTCATTGAGGCTTTTGGAGAGATTCTCAAGTATGGTTACACGCCAAACACATTTTCTAGGAACATATTGATGGATGTATTGTTCAAGATTGGTTGCGCAAGTGTTGCACTTCAAGTTTTGAAGGAGACAAAGTCACCCAATTTCCTAACCTTCAGCATTTCCATCGGCAATCTGTGTAAACTCAAAGATATGGTTAATCTCCAATCTGTACTTAGGACCATGCTGAGGAATGGATATTATCTTAACCCCGAGACATTTTCGTCTGTTTTGAGCTGTTATTGCAAATCAGGCCAGTTATCAAAGGCTACCCAATTATTAGGTTTTATGATTGCCTTGGGTGTTCCTACATGCGTCATTGTTTGGAGTATAGTGATAAATGGATATTCTAAATCTGGCAAACTCGATTTTGCCAGTCATTTGCTAAATAAGATGGTGTCTAGTGGATGCATGCCAAACATGGTCACATGCACATCTTTGGTAAAGGGATATTTGGAATTTCACATGCCTAGCAAAGCTTTTGAGATTCTAGACACCATGAAATCCATCGGGTGTTGTCCTGATTTGATTATGTGCAATGTGCTTATACATGGCCTCTCAAAAATAGGGAATTATGATGAAGCTATTGATGTTTTCTGTAGTTTAGGGGAAAGAGGATTGACCCCTGATTCTTACACACTCTCCTCTATCGTGTCAACAGTTTGTTTATGCAAGGAATTCACCCTCTTGCCTGTACTCATCAATGGATTGGATATACATGCCGATTTAGTTGTTTGTAACTCCTTTCTAAGCTTTTTTTGCAAAGCCGGTTATCCTAAAGGTGCTGTTGAGTTTTATAATGACATGATATATAGAGGTTTCCAACCAGACAATTACACATTTGCAGGATTATTGAGTGGGTTATGCAGGTTAGGCAAGACATCTCAGGCTGTTGATGTGTATCAGGGTATTGTCAAGAATCAAGATGGGCTAGATGCTCATATTCACACTGTGATCATTAATGAACTTATAAAATCTGGTGAATTTCACCAAGCCATCAGATTATTCAGAAAAGCCGCAGAAGAGAAACTCCATATGGATGTTGTTACATATACTGTTGCTATCGATGGCCTGGTCAAAGGTGGTCTTGTTGAAGATGCATATGATGTGTTTAGCATGATGAAAGAAATTGGATTGGCCCCAAATATATACACTTACAGTTTTATGTTATCTGGATTGTGTGAGAATGTAGATGTCATTACTATAAAAAGGATACTTGTTGAGATGGTTGATGGAGGCATTGAGCTTAACCATATTACTTTCAGGCTAATGAAGAACATTCTGCGCAAAAGACGACATTCAAGTTTAGTACTTAATCTATTCATGGAGTTGTGTGATAAAGCTGTTCATGATTTAAATGTCAAGGATGTCTTCTCAGATAATAACCACCATTTACTTGTTCTTGACACGGACACATCCAGCTCTGAAGACATTCTTGATGTAGCTGCTTCAGTAGGATGAGCACGGAGTCCCACAAACAGAAATCGTAATGAGTATGTAGTCTTTTGGGGGTTAGAAATCAGCAGACAGCCCCATCTCCAGCATGAAGCTCCAATTGCTTCCCCATTTTCTTATTTTAAATCCTGATTGAAATGGGAAGCACTTTAGTTCAGAACATATAATCCATCCTTTCCAAAAGAAGACTCTTATTGGCATGTTGCATCAATGTAGAACTATTTAATTGTGGTAAGGTACAACTCTTTTAAATCATTTGTCCTAATGTTTTTATTTTTTTATGGTAAACTAAATTCGGCATGCTAACTCTTTTGGAACATTTTTTACTTCAATGAAGAAAAGTTTATTTTTGTCGAAACATGACTCTTTTTTAAGATATGTTAGGAAGATTGTAGAAGTTCTATAACTGTAATAAGCCTAGTCTTTATACCAAATGTACTGTTAGGTTGTTACAGTTAGTTGAAATCTGTTGATCAGTTAGTTAGACTCTTGTTCTATAAATACTTGTACTGTTTCCCTAAATCATTAAGAATTGGGAAAGTTCCTGAAATAGGACTAAAACCGTTTGAAAATTCCAAAATAGGACTGTCATGTTTTTTATTCCCAAAATAGGAGTAATTACTGTCAAGTTTGGAAAATTCTGCCATGTTTGAAGTCTGGTACTGCCATAACATGGCAGTAATTAGTCCTATTTTGGGAATAAAAACACGGCAGTTCTATTTTGGAATTTTCAAACCTTTTTAGTCCTATTTCGGGTAATATTCTCATAAGAATTCTGTTCTCATTTTCTAATAGGATATGAAATTATGAATAGGTTTTGAAAAGGACATCTTTTATGCGACAAAGGTTGCATTTGTTTTGAATTGTTAAATTTCCTACACCTAAAGCCTTTCGACTATCAAATGAAAGATTGAAAGAATATAAAATGGAAATAGACAAGCCACAATCAAGCATCTGTCAAGAACATAAAATGGAAATAAACAATAAACAATTACGCATCATTTACTGTTCATGATTTTTTGTGGATTATAAGTGAAACAAAATAGCTCATGTGTTCACTTTGCTATTTCTCTACATTCATATTTTGGTTACCAACTCCGATTGGGAGAAAACGTTTTTCTTGGAGACTTTCTTTAATATTTTTAACATCTCAAGAGTGTTCCAACTTTTTTCGTTTTCTAATGTGATTGCAATGTGTGTATTATCACTATATTCAGCCTCTAAAAATTATTCATAGTATGATTTCAGTTTGTCGCATACAAATCATTATCTGCATTTTTTCTATTTTCCCTTATTTACCACTTATTATTATTATTGTTATTATTATTATTATTATTATTATTATTATTATTATTATTATTATTATTATTATTATTATTATTATTATTATTATTATTATTATTATTATTATTATTATTATTATTATTATTTATAGTAACTTCTAACTGTTCACTGCAGGGTGTGTCTCAAGCAATTCAGAGCTGGGGATATGGCGGTTCGGAACATTCTGGACCAGATAAGACTAAACTCCACTAGCATCCAAAACCATATTGACTTGCGCTGCCAAGGTTCGTTGTGTGTATATCTCAGGTTCTTGATGGATCCATATGGAACCAAAAATTATGATTTCTTTCTTTTAATTAAAAGCTGTGTTCCCTTATTTTAGATATCTGCATACACTAACAATTTTATTGCTTTAAATTTGAGTATTTGTTGCTTTAATTTGAAATTTGAACACTTATCTTCTCTGCTGCTGTTTATCCCTTCCACTTATTTACAATATTAACCCAACATATAAGTATCTTTATATGTTGTATTTAAGATTTAGCATTTTGTAGGTTCGTATTACACTATTACTAAAATTTGAATTTTATGTTATTTTTATCTTTATATTTTCTTCCACCTGTGTATTTGAATTACTGTTTTCTTGGTCTCCTAATATTTTTTTCTTTTATGATAGAGGGAGAATTGGTGCTACGCATATTGAATTTTTAGAATTACCAAAGAATGTCTGAAACCATAATATTTGAATTTTGAAATTGAATTGTTTTTTATCATTATACTTTAATAAAATAAAGAACCAATCCTTTTGGCAAGGCAGCCAGTATGTTGCCATGGAAGTTGTTTTCTTGCAGCCATATTTGGTTTTGCAATGATTTTGATTGAAGATATGTAGTATGAGCCTCATGTATCTGTGTGCGTGTATCCATACATGTCCATTGTATATCTGTGTGTACAAATTTTCCCAATGGCATGCCCATTGCCCTTATCTATTTGAAGTGACTTTTAACTTTGAAACTCGTATTAAACATTGAGGTTGATATATTTTCTAAATATAAAATGATAGAAACTCACACAAAGTAGAAAGTAGTAATTTATTTATGAAGTTTTCAGAACTTTAACGGGATTACAATGGCGTAGACAGAAATAAGATAAGAAATAGATCGAGACATTTCGAGTAGTCTCAGCACTCCCAGGTCCAGACTAAGTTCTGCATGCCTTCCTTCTTTCCTTCCTCCCATTCTTATACTAATTCTATTCTAAAGGGTCGGCCCAAACCCATGACTTACATGACCCATAACCCCTTATTTTTAACTACCAGTATTATTTAATATCAATCTATTACTACTATCATTATTCTCAAACAGTCCAAGGCCCTATCATAAAAACATCATGGAATAATGGAATTAAGATTACTGCTGCTCAGTGATAAAAATGTGCTTTGGTTTGTTGCTTTTTCTTTACTGTGAGTCTGTGACTGAATTTTCTTGCAAAAATATTACTCCATCCATCTCACTAAGATTGTCCCTTATTACCTTTTCGGGAAATCCCATAAAGATCGTCTCATAGTCTCATACCAAATTTGGTAAAGTTTGTGTGGCTTTAAATCATTCTTACTTTATTCTTACTCTATCAATTCAATATCAATCACATAAACCCACTTTTCTTAATAAGTGTGTGAGTGTGTCACCTCCTTTTCTCCCAATGTTAGTGGGATGGAGGTAGTAGTTTTTATAAACTATTTAAATCTTGTGGCAGGATATGGATAAGGGTTGAGGTGACTTGCTTTCTTATTTGTGATTACCTTTTGTTTGGAATAGAGTGATAATTTTGATAATTTAAATATTCTCACAATTAGCAGGAAATTTTCTGTGGAATTTGGTAAAAGGGAGCGCTAGCACTGACCACCTAAAAATTCAACTCTTCCATAAAAAGCTGATTTTGCACAAAGCCAACTAACCCTTTAATGTTTGGTGTTTCCAGTAGGTATCCATGTAAGGGTGAGAAATGGACAAGAAATAAGTATTTCTAAGAACACAACAAGAGCGGCCGCCCATGGAGGCATAAAGGGACCTTAGCAGTCGACTATCCACGTACCTGGTTACTCTTGACCAGATGGTGGAGCACAGTTGAAACAAATCATAGCTGAAGGAGAATCGAGCAACAAGTAGTTGGAGTCTCAGTTGGAGTAACTAGTCATTAGTGGGGTGAGAATGGTTGTGTTTTATTAATCGATACGATAGTATATTTTTTTAGAAGCCATTGAATTATGAAAATATGTATTACGTATATACTTTTAAGTGTTTAGCTAGTTTTCCATATGAGAATGTTAAAAAATCATGCCATCCGTCTCTTCATGGCTTCACTTATGGCATGAAATCCATATCCTCTACTGAAGCCAGAGAATGCAGGAAAGAAGTAATGAATCGAGTAATCTTTGTGGCATCTTTATATAACTGAAGGCGCCAAGTATAAGAGAGAATGCTATTCCCGCCTAAACACGAAAATATCCTATGATCCTATCACCTGGGCCAAATATCTGGCTATGCGGATAGCCCATACAACTAATCCAGGTTTTGCCGTGGAGAACCTTTCTTTGAAGAGTTACTTTGGCCCGATATAAACATTGTGTGATGGAGTATTAATTTTTAATATCTAATTAAGCATTTCCTAATGGATAAATACGATTTAAATTTGAGTTTGATTGTCAACTCTCAATTTTATTCTGGTGCTTTGGGTTTAAATGTTGGAGAAACTTCTATTTTCCAATTGAAGTTCTACCTCCAATGAAGATTTTTAGGAGAATTGAGGAAAATATATTTTTTATCAGTAGCACACTCTCATATTTAGCAAAAAGAGAGTCTTAGTCTAACATTGACACAATGTCAAATTGACAATTTATGCTAAATTCATTGTCTGTGGGCAGGTTTGCAGTTGTCCCACTGTGCAAGGTGTGAAATTCGTTGGTGATGGTTACGCTCATTGTGAAGGTAGTAAAGCCGTGCATTAAATAATTCATCAACATACTACTGGGGTGGGGGTTCTAACACGCTTAATTTCTTGTGGGCTTAATAGCAACTGGAGCACTGTGATGTCTATTTAATAATGGGGGATGTTGGAAGCAAATTAGGGATGGTGTAACATATTCTGCTTAAAACGTGAGCAGTTTTTTGTTGCTACATTGCATATTTTTTAATTCGCCTTTTAGGAAAGTGATGAGTGTTTCTTTTTGTGCGTTTTTCAGGATGAACACACAAAGGGTTGCCACTGCCCTCCAGGTTTTAAAGGTGATGGGGTTAGTACATGTGAAGGTAGAGTTTATTACTGTTTGGGACTTCTGTCATAAATGCCATAAGTGATGTGATAAGTGAATTACACCCAACTGGACTACGATAAAGCCTTTTGGGAGGCGAAAAAGTCCGTGTAGGCTCAGTCTAAAGTGGACAAAAATCCGTTTGTGGTGCTAACAATAGAAACTTTACAATGTTCCTCACGGCTCACACCTTAGCCTGATCCATAGATTTCAAAGGTTCTAACTTGTAATAATTCGTTTACAGATACATTATAATTGATTGTTTGGAGCAAAAACTTTATTCCTTCAACTTCGGGCGTTTTGCAGGTATTAATGAATCCAAGGAGAAAACAGTGTGTCAATGCCTTGAATGTAAATGCCCTAACACATGGGGCGGTTATGAATGCAATTGTCGTGGAAATCTGCTATACATGATTGAGCACGACACATTTATACATACATTACAATGTTGTTTGGTGTAAATGGTGTTTTCAGTTGATATGTCCTGCATTTCAAGCAATAAAAGTTCTTTAAAACGGGCTCTAAGTCTTTTGAGTAACACTTTTCTACATTGATAACAAGAATACGCCACTGTTGGCTACCGAACTGGTGTTTTAGAATGTACTGTCTCTCTGCAGAGGAACATTGATTCGGAGATTCGTGCCATCGTTGCACAGTACATGCCCTTGGACAATCAAGGAGAGGTCCCCAACCATAGTCTCTCATGGAAAGTTCTGATTATCAAGCTCCTCCCTGTCGCAGCTGAATGATGGGTGTTACTTGGTGGTGTAAAGAGACATCTCCTATGTTGCTGATCCAGAACTAAAACCCTGTCTCCTTTTAAGCTTAAGGCTTATCCTCCTTTTTGCATCTGATATGCCACTGGGTTCTTAGACAAAATGTTCCATTTAATGGACAACAGATGTTCTATGCATGTGTATATATGTAATCCGTAGGACATCCACTAAGCTCCAGTAATTTAGGGAGATAGGAAATTCACATGTAATGCTGTCTGTGTCTTCTCTTCAGATAAAATACAGGGATATCCCAGAAGAAACTCTAAAAATAAGATTAAATGAACATAATTTGCCATGTAAGATCATTTCCTCTGCTAAAATAGGACTTGCTAAACCTAGGAAAAGAATTGTAGGACTGAAGGAATCTTAATTTTACAATAAAACACTGAAGGCCAGGTCGTGTGTATATATACATGGTTTACTGTCATTTGTAGATACCATAGCAAGTAGGGCTGGATTTTGGTCAGTACTCAACTGGCCTGTTCTAGGTAGAGCTGGAATTAAAATCTTGTTCAATTAAACCAGCTCTAATTCTAAACCAGCTGTTTGTTTTTTAGCCCTTCTTTTTATGGTTTAATAAAGAAAGAATGATGGTAGGCCTGGACTCGGGCCAGGCGGCCCGCCCCGGAACCGGCCCGGGAACCGGTCGGGGGGGGGCGGTTTGGGTCGACCCGGCCCGGCCCGGTGGAAGTAGCGGTTCGGTCTCGGGCCCTTCAAATGGCGAACCGGCCCGGCGGGGCCGGGGTCGGTTCGGGCCTAACGGCTATTTTTATTTTTATTTTTAAATAATTGGAAGGCTTCTAGCCGTTGGGAGACCTCCCAAACGGCTTTATTGCCGTTGGAGGGGGTGGGAGGGGGGTCCAGGGGTTTTGGGGGTGGGGGGTGGGGATAAAAAAAACTTATTTATACTTCTATTTTCTATACATTTTTTACACCTCTTCTCCAACTCTTCCTACTCTCTAATTCCTTATTCCCTCATACTCTTAAATCTTAATCATCTCCATCTTCATCTTCTCCAAACCTCTCTACATATATATATTATTATATAATTATTATATCTACTTATATATTAATTATCTACTTATATACCTATATTATATTACTAATATATATTATCTACTTAATATATACTTATTATCTTCTTAATATTTACTTTGATATCTACTTATCATCTATACTTATTGTTATTTACTTATATATTAACGTATTAATTATCTACTTTACATACATATATTATATTACTTGTATTCCTTATCTACTTAATCTCTACCTATTATCTACTTAGATATATATATTAAAGTATTATATACAAGTGTATTACTCATCTTATAGTAATATACTTATATATTATATACTATAAACATTCTATTATATATTAGTTAGAAAATAATCTACTTATATACCTATATTATATTACTAATATTTATTATCAACTTAATATATACTTAAATTACTTATTATCTACTTATACATCTCCATCTTCATCTTCTCCAAACCTCTCTACATATATATATTATTTATATAATTATTATATCTACTTATATATCAATTATCTACTTATATACCTATATTATATTACTAATATTTATTATCTACTTAATATATACTTATTATCCACTTATACATCTCCATCTTTTTAATATTTACTTTGTTATCTATATTTATTGTTATTTACTTATATATATATATTAAAGTATTATATATAAGTGTATTACTCATCTTATAGTAATATACTTATATATTATATACTATAAACATTATATTATATATTAGTTATACAATTATATTAGTTACACTTGAATTCACAGTAATTAAATTCATCGTATTAGTTAATTTTTACATTTTTCATTAAAGTATAAAAGTAGTTAATTGTTACATTTTTCATTAAAGTATAAAACTAGTTAATTTTTACATTTTTCATTAAAGTATAAAAGTAGTTAATTGTTAATTGTTACATTTTTCATTCAAGTATAAAACTAGTTAATTGTTACATTTTTCATTCAAGTATAAAATTAGTTAATTGTTACATTTTTCATTAAAGTATAAAACTAGTTAATTGTTACATTTTTCATTCAAGTATAAAACTAGTTAATTATTAATTGTTGCATTAAAGTATAAACTAATAAAAGTAGTTAATTTTATTAGTCGCATTTTATTATTACTATTGAACTCATATTAAAACATTTGATATCATATAATATTTGTTACATTTTAAAGATGGACCGTGCTAGACATTCCGTAGATGTGGGTAGTCTCCAACGCAACCGAAGGAAGGAGATTGCGACAAGTCATCCTAGTTTACGCAAAGGCAAAGGTAAAGGGCGGGCCGGGTCTTCTTCTCAAAGTCGAGAAGATTTTGATGACGGATACCAACGGCGAGATGGGGATGCGATGTCCGACGAGCAACTACAATAACTATTGCGTGAATTATGTGGTTCTAATACTTTGATGGGTAGAGTTTTTCATCAACGATGTGCATACCATATTATAAATTTATGTGTGCAAGACGGTATAAAAGCGTTAGGAGATGCTATGGAGGTAGTCAAGGGGGGATTAGACGTATTTGGGGCAATGGTCAACTTAAATTAAAATGACAAAATTATTTAATTGAAAGAGGTGTGAAATAGTACTTATAAATTAATTAAAGTTCTTCTTAAATATAAAGAACATTTTCCTGTTTTTTTAAGACAATTGATAACTATATTTTAAACCCCACTCACATCGACGCTTGCGAAAAAATTTGTAATGTTTTGATATATTTTAATAATGCAACTGATAGTTTTAGTCATGTTTATGCACATATTCCGCATATTTATAGTATTGCATTTATTCTCGATCCTCGTTATAGACTTGGTAATTTGGAAGAATGTTTGAAGTTCTATTATAATGCTTTTTTTGGTCCATTTCCAATGTATGATGATAACGCCATAGATCCGCAAGTTGAATACAACGAGGTTAGTAATTTATTTTATGCCTTATTTAATGAGTTTCGTGCACAATATGACAACGCGCCCCCTCTCCCGACACACACATCTTCATCTAAAGGAAAATCACTTTTTAAATCTGCTTTTGGCAATCTTATGAAAAAACCTAAAACAACTCACACTACTGAACAAAGCGCACTTTGTATATTAATTATGAGGTAGAATTTGACAAAAATGAAGAGTTTGACGTTCTAAAGTGGTGGAAGTCAAAAGATAGAATGTTCCCGATTTTGGCACGGATGGCTAAGCAAGTGCTATCAATGCCGGTTTCAACAGTTGCCGTGGAACAAGAATTTAGTTCGGTCGGCAACATTCTAACGGCATCTAGAACAAGTTTGAGCGCTGAGTCTCTTGAGACGCTTATATGCTACCACGATTGGTTGAATGCCATACGTAGATGTCAAGAAGTTAGCATCACCCCCTCCCAAGACTTTATGGATGAATCAACAACCGAGGGTGGCTCCTATGCCGGATATTCCGATTGATTAGTATTTTACAGTTTATTATAAAATGTATTTCATGTTTTAATTTTTCCTTCAATTCTCTATTGTAATTTGTAAAGTTGTATTTCATATTTCAAATAAATATACATTCTTTTTTTTATATGTAGCACTTCTCAAATTAATTAATTAATTAATTGGTTACAAACTTACAACTTAGAATTTATTGTATTAGTATTTTTTGAAAAATGTATTTCATATTTAAGTTGTATTAAAAAGATTAAAAAAAAATAAACTAGGCCCGACCCGACCCGGCGGCTGACCCGGCCCGAACCGGAACCGGGCGAAGGACGGGCCGGTTCCGGGCCCCCCTTTATAGGACCGGAGGCCCGACCGGGTCTAGGCCCGGGCCCAGCCCAAACCGAGTCCAGCCCTAAATGATGGCATGTGATCTAAAGCAGCGACGGAGCCACACTATGAGTTGTGGTGTCAATTGACACCACTCAACTTTTTCTTCTTCATATATAGGTATATACGTATAATTTTTCAAAAAAGATAAAATATACACCATTGGAAAATATTAGAAATTGATTAATATAAAACTAAAACATACATAAGGTTCAAAAATAGGACTAATTTTATTCCTCAAATAGAATTTATTTAGTCCTATCAAAAGAAAAAATTATTTAGGGAATTATCTAAAAATATATGTATAATCTTTCAAAAATTAAAAAATTGTCACATCCATTTATAAATTGGAGGTCAATGTATATATTTTAAAAGTTGAAACACTAACTTAAAAATAATGGAAAAGTTTATAGTTTACATATTACTACTACTGACGAGCACTTTCTCATAGACTCATAGTGTGCTTCAAATTAAATTCACTACTAAGGGCTAATACCGTAGTATAGCGTAGTAAAGTTCGTATCCACAAGGAAAGATGCTTTTTGCGTATGTGTAAGCGTAATTAATAAAAGTAAACGGAAGGGGGAATTGGAAATTTTGATAATTGAGAAAGAAAATAAAATACTAAAATGAGGGAAATAAAATATCAAAGGTAATCAACCTTGGTTTTGCTACTTTCCACTTGTTGATATATTTTAGTCGATCATTGTTATATCTATAACTTATCCCCTCTCGAATACTCAATCAAGGAGTATCTCCAATTCATCGAGGGTAGTTATTAACAACGACCGTTCATTAATAACCCTTACTATTAGTCAAGTATAGAACACCGCCATATACCGACTTGATAGTAGCATTAATCTCTTAACTCCTTGATGAAATCAATTGAGATTGATAACCTCAACACAACGGTTTCGGTTTAACCAACAAAATTAATCCCTCTTAAGTTTATTAACCACGATCGTGCATTAATAAACCGAAGTTACTTACTTGTGAAACCATCAACGATTAACCATCGGTTCATTGATCGTTTCTAGTAGTAATTAATGTCGAGATGTTAACTAATTGTCATCTTAGCAACACTTCCAAACATTAATATAGAGATAGATTAAGAGAAGAATTAATATTCAAGGGAAGAAGTTAAGAAAATAACTCACAACTTTAATAATCAACAAGCTTCAAGAGCAAAACCAAGCTCAAAAGACTACCTAAAGTACAAGAATAATGTGTATATGAAAGAGGGGATTAATTGGTATCTAAAATAGGAAGAAAAGGGGTGTTTTTATAGGAGAAGTGAGGTGGTTGGGTCTAAGACATAATCTGATTTTCCCATGTTCACTTGCTTTATTTGATCTCTTATGATCTCTGGGTCATATCATATCCGATTTTTCACATTTCTTTTGTCCTCCGTGAAGCTTCCTCTTGTCTCCAATTCTCCTTCCTTATGCTCCCAAGCTCCTTCCTCTTCT